ATAGTAATATAAATAATTTGGCAATTGTGCAATTTGGTAGTAATCGAGTAGATCACAAACTTAATTTATTAATTATATATTATCTTCAGACCGTAATAAAAATATTTTTACATGAGTCATATTTCTAGTCTATTAAAAATACATTTTACTATGGTCTAAAAATTACATATCATTGATAAGTGAAGTTTGTGATTCACATTGATCTATATATGATTTTAATCAATTACTATCAGATTGCATAATTGTTAACTTATTTTTCTAATTTATTATATTATAAAATGATGCTGTTATACTCTTAATAAAACTTTGAAAAGTAGTATATTTTTAGAGGTGAAAGCATAGGTGTAAGGTTTGTGACAAATGCAATTACTATTTACAGCTATATTGCAAAACATGCAAAAAAGTAGCTAATGGAATATATAGACAATGTAAATATGAAAATTCTTAAATAATTAACATTAAATAAAAATAAGCATATCATTATTTGTTGTACTATACATCATGTTAAAATAAATTCCACATATATATAAATTTATCTATACTATAATACTTTACAAGGCTTATCATTACTACATTATATATAACTTATAAAGAATATTTTTAAAATTTTCTCTAATCTAAATTTGGTTAATATTCTTATAATACATATGTTATCTGTGCAACAAAATCTTTATATAATTTTTTTACCATGTTCATAGAAAAAATAATACCAAGCTTTAGATCTATTCCAAAGCCAGTACAAAAAATTTATTTATTCTAACCAAAACATATATATTTCAGTTTTTATAGCTTTTTTAATAAAAACTAAAAGCTCTGCTAGATAGTCAAGTAAAATATAATACTTAGCAATCTTCCTCTATGCTGTAATGCTAAAGATGTTAAGATTTCTAATGCATATTCCGCATGTTTAGAGGTATTCTATGCCAAATGTAATGTAATATTAAGTGTAAAGATTGGCATAAAGTACATATGAGGCATTTTTCTTTGTTGTCTTACCCTTTACATCACTATTCAGAGATAAACAAAACTATTTATAAAGGGCAGTATAGTGAAGATATTACTTTTTGGTAATTCAGTTTTATTTTTGTCACTTTCAATTAATATTTTTTTTAAAAACAAAAATGATTTTTTGATTTTGAAGAATTTGTTTATATTAAAGGAAAGACTGTCACTTTTGCAGTAGTGATTATACAAGCCTCCTATATAAAAGGATTAATATTCGAAGTGAATCTTGTTGAAATGCTAAAGAGCATTAGTAATAAAGTTATTTATAAAGGGTGAGTTTCTCATTAGTTATTTGTCGAGTTGTTGTATATTCAAAGTTATACTATCACATAGATGTAAATAACTAGTAAGAAATTGAAAGCACATCATGGCCACTGTTTTAGTAGTAAATGTTCTTTTTTTTAGTTTTTAATATTCCTATGATGCTTAGGCATTTGAAATTTATAATGAATAGAATACACTCTAATATAGAAAACACTGTTATTAACTATTCTGCCTATGCAACTTCTTTAGTTAGTTGATAATTATAACACAAGTATTTACATTTTATTTTAATTTAGGAGATCAGGTGATGGTGGCATCGATATTATATATGAAATTGCCACAACATGATTTAGCATTCAATGTAAAATTGGATTAGACTCAATATAGATATTATTATATTAAATCAGATGTTTAGGTTGAAATTACTAAAAAATTCAATTAATATATTAAATATATTCACAGATTGCCTGGTTGTAGATGAGTTGCTTGGCATGTTCACTTAAACCAAGCAACCAAAAGGGACTATTAGAATAATAGTGGGTCCCTCTATGGATAGCTTTACTTCTGGTGCAATAGATGTGATACTAGAGATAGCAGAACCGCCAGAACTATTAGAGTCAGAACCATTAGAATCAGAACTATTGAAACAACTACCTCCATATTTCATTATTGTAACAGATGTAGACCGATTGCCCAAATATTTGATCAATACAGTTCTTAATAAGTTATATAATGAACCTTATACCTTCTTCCTTTTATCATGAATTTGTTTAATTTATTGTATATAGTTTTTTTTTCTTATCATTGTTTAATCTATTGTATATATTTTTTTTTACTTTTCTTATCATATCAATAAAGCTGGCCCCAGTGGCTCAATTTCATATAATTAATCATGTTTAGTTTTTGTGTATATTTCATTAACATGATAGTGTCCTATATATGTTGTGTTGATCTTAATATAGACACGATAAAACAAGATAATTTCAAAAAAACTGGACATGTGTGTCTAAGCGCAGTAATGTGGCACAGTTAAGGTAAATGACACAGCTAAACAATCTTGCGTGCCATATGGCATGCCAGCTACTAAAGTTTATACCAGGATACCACCCTGGCATCAAGAACCGGAAAAAATTTAGATATCAAATTGAAAAAATTTATTTGCATAATAATAAAAATTTGGATATAATTTGAATATAAATTTTATATATTTTCTTTATTAAAATAGATCAAGTTAAGCATTTTTTACAATTATCCTTCAAAATATTACTATATTAAAAACTGTATTCAACTGTGCATTAAAATTATATTCTATCACTACTACTGTATATTGAGTGGTTTAAAGGTTACTGATGTCTTAAATACAAAGTAGGAATGTTATTAGCTTGATCTGGCTTGGATATTTAACTATTATAAAAAACTGATTAATAAATAAAGCTGAACCAACCTATTATGTCTCTAAACATGATGATTAGATGCAAAATAATTATGATTTCTATATACAAAGATATAAGATCATTTAAAAAATACATATAAAGAGATTTTTGAAAACATCCGTTAGAAAAATAAAAGAAATAATAAAACCTTTCTCAAAATATTTCTAAAGTATCATATTTGTTTATAGCTAATTTAAGATCGAAATACCTTATTTGTGTAATAAAAATTAAATTAGAATAAATCACCACCCAAAAAAGTTTCAAGTAAAATTTCATTTTATTATTAGATCGATGTTTAAAATACTTTTTATAGCAAAAATTTATAAGGAAAACTTTCAATTAATGTGCAGAAGGCAGTTTCATAGACTAAATTTTGGGTTATAAGTGATTTTTGATAAAACAAACATTTGTTTTGAATTTTCTCGATTGTGTTATGTTACACCTAATCTTGAGATATGATTGGTCATAAAACTTTTTTGGGTAGCAATTTTACCCCAATTTAAAAATTTTAACCAATCAAAATTTGCAAAACTTTAAAAAAATTTGGAAAAATTTGGCTAACATTAAAAAATTTGGAAAAATTTGGCTAACATTAAAAAATTTGGAAAAATTTGGATTGATTTGGATCCAAAAAATTTCCGGTCCCTGCCTGGCATGCCATTAAACCATGCAATAATATACTCAATTGGGATTGGTCAGTTATCATCTACTATAAAATAACCTTTCGGAATACTTCGAAGCATTGCTCCAATTTTCCTTTTGAAATTTAGATTATTTTATTTTCTATTCGGAACCTTTCGGAATATATATAGAGGTAGGACCGTCCAAATTAGGAAATTGATTCCGGTATAGTTACACAATTTATTAAAAATCTTTTTATATGGTTTATAATAGTCTTTGTGCGAGGTCATCAGGTGGTTAATTCGTGTTATACAATGAACAAAAAAATTTAGCGAATTTTGTGGCTTTTACATCGTACTTTAATAATATCTGGTGAATCCACTTGAATCCAACAGTTTTTATATAGCAAATTATTAAGTATTTGCCTGTTAAGAGAAATCGTAATATAAAAGCTGTTGGATTCAAGTGGATTCACCTGATATTATTAAAGTTCGATATGAAAGCCACAAAATTCGCTAAATTTTTTTGTTTGTTGTATAACACGAATTAGCCACCCGATGACCTCGCACAAAGACTATTATGAACCATATAAAAAGATTTTCAATAAATTGTGTAACTATACCGGTCCTACCTGAAAGAATATATATAAATGGCATGCCTATAGATGCCACCATAGGCATGCCACCCTGGCATGCCAATGACCTCCGTGCCACTCACCCTAGGCACATTAGATTACTGGTCAGATTTTGGCGACGACCCGTCGCTGAAATTACTATGGTCAAGTCTCACGTAATTGTACATATGATGTATTATCTAGAAAGTCAATTTTTCGATAACTCAAACGTAAAATGCGCCTGTTACCTAAATGTGTCAACGCGTTAAAATACCCTGTTATGACTAATGTAATAGTATTTATTTATTACGAAAATGCTTTATAGAGTAACCTATTGTTTGTAAAATATGTAGCCTTTTGGGAAAGCACGGATGAGCCTTCGCTCAATGAGTTCCTGAATTTTCGATCCCGCGCAGGCAATTTGGAAGATGAAGTGACGGAACATAATCGGTATATAAGCGAACTGAATACTATAAGCAAGTATTATACTGAAATATCTGAATTCGGAAAAAAGGTGATAAAATGGAAACATGACTTCAAGGTATTATCGTCTACTATAATTCTTCAGCGATTTGATTGTGAGCAGTGCATCACTTCACAGACTACTTTTCGGACTGCGTGTTCGTAAAGGAAAGACTGCGTGTTTGTCTGAGAATTGTGTATTAATATCGCGGTGTACTTTTTGGACTACTTTGCGGACTGTGTGTTTGCAAGGGAAAGACTGCGTGTTTGTCTGGGAAAAAACCGCATGTTTGAGTATGCAGTAGTATGTAAAATTTCTCGGACTACTTTGCGGACTGCGTGTTTGTAGAGGAAAGACTGCGTGTTTGTCCGGGAAAGCTGTGTGCTTGTGTATGTGACCTTTCACGGACTACTTTGTGGACTGCGTGTTCGTAGAGGAAAGACTGCGTGTTTGTCCAGGAAGGTTGCTTACTTGTCTGAACAGTCTATTTTCTCTTGCAATAATTTCTCGTTATTTTTTACTTTTTTAAAAACAGAATGATAAAAATTCAAAGCGGATAAATTATTTTTGGGAGTTGCAAATGAAAAGACAAAACATACGAATGGAGATAAAGTTACTCGAAGAGAAAAACGAATTACTTGAGAAGGAACTGTCACACCAGATTGCTCTTGAACAGGTAATATATTAGCGACTTTCATTATGTCTAATCTTGATACTGTGATACTGAAAGTTTATTTCATTTTAGACCCAACATATTCTGGATGCGACGAGGGAGACTCGTAATCAAGGTGCTTTATTACAAAGTGAAGTTACGACAAAAATCAAAAAACGCATGTTGGATAAATCGGATGCACCATGTGAACAATCAAAAAGGAGAGTGAAAGCTACTAATAGAGTTGAAAGTGCAGAACAATATTCCAAGTCTTATGATCCGGAAGAGTGCGAGGAAGAATGTATTAATGTGGAACCATACGAAGAAATTATAAGTGATGAACAAAACGTTTCCAATGAAATAGATGAGGGGGATGAGGTATGGTTATTTACATTAAAGTGAACTGTTCAGTATTGAATAATGGGAATAATTGCTAATTGGCGCGGTTCTTTTTTAGACCGAATTTGAATCATTGAATTCTTCACCTCCTTTGTCCGAGAGTGACAATGGTTCAGTTTACACACCAAGGTACAGTCAGACCCCCCTAAATGCTCCCCCCCTAAATGCAGCACCCCTCTAAATGCATGATATATGCCCGGCCCGTGGTGGGACTTATAGATAAATGCACTGTAAATGCACGCCATTTTTTTGGCCCGTTTATAATTAGCTCCCCCCATAAATGCATTCACGTGATAGCGAACCAATCAAATTCTTCACTGATTTCGCGAATTGCCTAACTATAATGAGTTAGGCAATTTTTGCTTAACTCATTATAGTCACGGCAATCATTACGACTTGCGTAGCATCGCCCAGAAAAAATTATAAGCAGATTTTTTGCTGGCTTCATGACTTCTAAAACTGATTGCCGGTAAAGTTATGTTTATCATGCTTAACAATCATAAGCATTAGAACTTCACTTTGATTTTCGGTTTGATTTTTACTTTGACCTTCATTTTGACTTTGCTTTGACTTTCGCTTTTACTTTCGCTTTGACTTTCGCTTCGAGAATTTTTGCTGTGTTGAATTCACAAAATATAACTTGAACCAAACATGATAGTTATATCGCTAAAATTATGTATAGTTATTCAGTGCCTCATATTCATTTGTGTTAATTTAGCTGGTGAGTGCAAAGAACTTTCAGGTTTGCGAACATTTACTTATTCCCATTAATTTAGTTAGTCGAATATGTACTTGTTCGTGTTAATTTAGCTGGTGAGAAAAAAGTTTTTTTTGTACTGCTTAAATAATTTTGTTTGCAGCATTAAGACTAAAGCAATGTCATATCTTTTTAATCGTGTTATTTAAAGATCAATGCATTAAAATTCATCAAGTCATAAGTTGACTCTCTAGATTCGTGAATAATATATTTAATTTTCTCATGTAAAAAAATCAATTGTATATTAAAGTAAGCTATTTTAGTTATATTTTGTATTTATTTTAATTTTTATTTTTTTTGCCTATTCGTTCGATGCATTTAAAAAAGTCATTTTCATTCAATCGAAAAGATGCTAAGCATGGTGATGCGCCTCATGAAACCATTGACCAGAATAAGTCCAATTCCAGATAACCAAAGAAGATGAATATGATTTGAATGATTTTACATAAGTAGCAATCACTAACTTGATAAAGGCGGCAATAAGAAGGAAGATAAACCCATGGATAGGGTTGTTAATGGGTTAAGTTGGGTTGGGTTGGTTTGGTTTGAAATTAGTTATAACCAAACCAAATTGGAGTACTAAATTCTAATATAATACTTCAGTTTGCTCTTTAGTTTAGCAAACTAGTTTAAACATTCTTTTTCACATATTTTATAGCATACTTCTTTTTGGTTTGTGTTTAAACTGGAGTACTAAAACTAAATGAAACAAATATATCTTACCAAATACTTCTTCCTTAGCAACTAGTTTATCATCTAATTCACTTCAAACAAACTTTTTTCTTTTTATAAAAAAATGGTTTATACAAGGTTTTTCTTTAACTAACTGTACTTTTTAATACCATGATATATACCTTCTTAGGTTTCCTCTAACCTAGTCTAGCTATATAATTATTTAGAATAATTAAAAATAGCATTATATAAAAAATTAGGGGGTGTAATGTCACATTGGGTGCTTTATTAATAGTACAAGTATAGTTCAAAATTTTTAAATATAGATCTTTCTCTACTTTTTTTAAAATAAAGTTTCAACTATAGCATTTACAAAAAAAAAAAATAAGATATATATGGATAAATCATTATATATCAATATATATTTATATTTTAAACTTATTGTCTGAAGCATAGTAACAAACATTCAATTTCTACGCATTAAGTGATACAAAAATTACATTTTTGATATGTTTCTACTATCAAATATTTTTTTTGATGCATTAACATAATTATTATAATTAACATATCAATAACGTAACTTTGAAATTTTTTATCTGTCTTGCCACGTAACGCATGATTACAAAACTATTTTGAAAACAACAATTGATTACCAGTACAGTCAAGGATATTATCAAATATGGTAATACTTCAGACTTATATTGGTTCCTGATTTCTAGTATAACAAAAATATTAACAATGTTTTGTTTCTTCTAGAAAACAACTATAGTACTAACCAAAAAATAGTTAGTAATTTAGATTTTTCAGTTGTTGAATATATATTATATTATCTTAATTTAGCTATTAATAATTTTATTAATTTTTTATTTATACTTATAAATCAAGTTTATAAAATTGTTTTTTTTTTTTTTTTTTTAAGGTGAGGTTTTGCCTTTATCTTTATTAATAATTTGTGTTGAGAATCTACTAGGGGTTTCTCT